AGAGCGGGGAAGAGAATGTGGCTGATTGTGCTGGACAATGACCTTGCTGGATGGGCCATCCAGGGTTGGGTTCTGTCTGGCTTTAGGACTTGCTCACCTTAACCTCCCCCCACCCTCCTCCATCCATAGGCACTCCAGGCCAGTTTCTTGTATTGTGGCGATAGAGAGATGTAGTAGGATGCTGTTCAATGTGATTGTCAATTCTGACAATGGAGCCAAATAATATTTATGTATGGGATGTATTTAGATGTCCAAAGTTCTTATGCAATAGATCACTTCAAACCAGAACAGATGAAAAGCCAGTGTATAAAAAATGGAAAGAGTCATGTTCTGTGTGATTGCTACTATGTGGTTTATATATGATGGGAAAACTCACTAATACACAAGATGGGAAAGCATGTGCTTGATTGGCTGGAAGAACCGTATGTGTACGTGTGCCTGTATTGGCTGTGTGTGTGTGTGTGTGTGTGTGTGTGTGTTGGGGGGGGGAGTTCCTCTACTTATGTTGTTGTTTGTAACGTTGTAATAACAATAGCTGTCTTTCTCCTAAACTCAGCAGTAGCTCAACAAGTTCTAAAACAAATAAGCTAACTTTTCATTTGTTTGCCTTGAGATCTTATGAGGAGTTGGTGAGTCTTGTGTAGTGCAGTAAAAGGCCTTGTGACGTATTCGGCGCACCTGGCCCTGCACAGTGAGGTTACACATTAACCAGGGAGGGCAGATGCCATCGGCCGGTGCTCTCATAGAGTCAATCATTCCTCCAGCACGTCTGGAACTATGGCACTTCTTAACCTCCATAAATGCCACTGTGTAATTAGATTCTTGAATTATTCAGCCTTATGCACATTCCAATGAGGGCTTGAGTGAAGTGTGTGAACAGCTTCTCGTTACCATGATGCAGTGGCATCGCCATGGTAAATTACTTGGCTAACTTGCTGTGTTTGTATCGCTGTTTCTTACGCAAGTGCTTTTGTGTCGCTACCCCCTTTCCTGAACAATCACTTGGCCATGCTTTTATTGAGGCTTGACTGTAGTTGGCAGAGCTTAGTGGTACTTTGGCTTGTTGTGGAGTATACCGTAGTGTAGTTAGCAGACCTGGGTTCAAATACTATTTGAAATCTTTCAAATACATTGACTGTTTGCTCTGGAGTTTTAGATGTAAGGGGGGTTAACGTTTTTGGAACTATTCTATTGGTCCATTAAGCCAGACAAGCTCAATCAAGCAGATAAATTAGGTCTATTTGAAATTATTTCAAATAGTATTTTCACCCAGGTCTGGTAGCTAGCTGGCTGGTTGAGGGAAGGTTGCTGGGGGGTTAGGATGATGAATTCCTAGCCACAGGTTTGAGTTAAAACTTAATACAACGGTTGTGCGCAGTGTCAGCGGGGAGGCCTCAGAATAGCAATTAGCCTGTTAAATCTGTTAACCCCCCTCAGTGTGGAAGCACAATGCTCACCCAGAGAAAAGAGGGAGAGGGAAAGATGAGTGGAGGGAGGGAGGAGAGCGAAGGAAACTGGAGGAGAGAGAGAGTTGGAGACACAGAGAGAGAGGGAGTACAGGAGGGAGAAGGTGAAAGTGAGAGCTAGAGAGGAGTAGCGAAGAGGGGAGGGAGGGAGAAAGAGTGTATGGAGAGAGAGAGAGAGAGATGTACAATGAGGGGATTTGTAATGGGTCTTTGTGAGCAGGATTTAGCGTGCAGCAAGGATTCTAGCAGAGGACACAGCATCACAGGTGTAGGGCATGTGTGGGTGGCAGGAACAGACAGAGAAATATGAAAGCAGTAATGGCTGTGGAGCATAAAGCAAACAGCCTGTCTCACGCAGTACAATACACAGTGCACAAGTCAATGCTTTTTTATTCTGAAATCTGTTGATTTAAATAATATTTAAAGTTGATAGAAACAAGTGGGTGTGGTGAGAAGGAACAAGGAAGCTTCTAGTTTCCAAGGTATTCTACGACAGCAGAGCGCCCTCTCGCTCTCTCTCGCTCTCTCTCGCTCGCGTGTTCTTTTTCGAATTCTCACGCATTGCTCACACACACATCTCTCCAGCACTGCTGATGAGAGGCCGCCCAATGTTGATTTAGTAGCCAAAAAGCAGCGCCGCCATAAATCGGACCCACTGTTCGCTAAATCCTGGACTGCTAATGTTGACAGATAATGCACGGGAGAAAGCTCTGTTGACGGCCCATTGTCATTAAAATATATGCGCTATTGTCTGTGCTTGCATGTCTGGACACTGGTCGGAGTGTCCCTCTCCCCTCTCCAGGAAGGCTGAAAGGGGTAGTGGGTAAGGGGTAAGGGGGGAGATTAAGGCAATGCCAGGTGCTAGATGTAGATGTGACTTTCTTAAGTTTCCAGTGTCTTGTAAACGTTGGAGTCGTTAAGGGGCCCTGCCACTCAGAGCCACCGGGGTGTTTCATTTCCATCACAATGTCCACCTCTCTGCCAGGCCACTCAGTTTGACCAGTCACTCACTCACGCACACACACACACACACAGGAACCTACCCTCTCTCTCTCTCTCTCTCTCTCTCTCTCTCTCTCTCTCTCTCTCTCTCTCTCTCTCTCTCTCTCTCTCTCTCTCTCTCTCTCTCTCTCTCTCTCTCTCAGAGCACACACTAGCGATGTTGCTCCTCACTTCTCCTCTGTGCTCGAGCCTCAACGGCTCCCTGACTCTGGTCCCTGACACACATTCTCGTCACGCACACACACACATTCACAGACGAGTGAGACTGTTCCAGTGAGAGTCCAGAGGTGTGGGGAAGGCTGTGAGGAACAAGTGGGGATCTTCCTGTGGCTGGTGCATGGCTTCTCCAGAGACCATTTCCAAGGCCCCCCGGCCAGTAGCACAGAGTCTGCATTCCAAATGGCACCCTATTCCCTATGTAGTACACTTATTTTGACCAGTACCCACCAGTGTCCATACCACTATATAAGGAATAGGGTGCCATTTGGAACTCAACCTGAGTCTCTCACTGCCCCTTTAGCACCATCCATCATAATGAAACCAGTCAAATCACATTTCAATGGTCTCATACACGTATTTAGCAGATGTTATTGCGGGTGAAGCAAAATGCTTGTGTTCCTAGCTCCAACAGTGCAGTAATATCTAACAATACACAACAATACACACACCCTCACACGCTTATCATTTCATATCTACTACATGTGTATGTACACACATCTGTGACAGTGGCGTGATGATACATTTTTGGTGATAGAGTTTGGTCTCTTATCACCAACTATGGCCTCTCTAGGTTTTCAATAAACAGGTCCATGATGTGGTCAGTTCGTTGGATGGGTTTTTAGTGGACGTCTGTGTTTTTCCCCACCAGCGGTACAGAATTCAATGCAGCCTGTTCTCCCTGGCCTCTTCAGAGTTGTGAAATACCTGACCTGCTGAGAAGTGGAGAGGTAATCCTGAGGCCGGGGGTGAGGTATTTTGCACCTCTGAAAAGCCCTCCACGCTCTACCACACACAAAAACACACGCTCTACCATACAGAAAAACACTTACACACACAAACTGAACACACACTTTATAATTCTGCCTGTGTGAGTGTCATCAGGGGAAAGAGGAGCTGTCATTTGCAGACCCAGATTTAGACTACAAAAATGAGTCTCTCTCCCACTTGCTCACCCTCAATCATAGAGTGCAGCCCCTGTTCCTCACCAGCCTCATTAGTACATCTCTCCTGCCTGGGTATGAGGAGCGTTCTGTTGGTATATGCTTGAGAAGCCTATATGTCATTTATTGTGTGTGTGGTGTGTGTGGGAAAAAGTGAGTGTGTGTGTGTTGTGGACGTGTGTTTAGGCCTGGTGTGTAATATTTCTCATCTCAATCGGCGTCACACGGAACAAACAACTGCTCCCTACTGATGTGTGTGTTTCTCTCTCTCTCTCTCTCTCTCTCTCTTATTATTATTATTATTTTGCCTCATTAAAGAGCCCCTTATACACCAGGGGACCACAGACTTCCAGGAAATGAAGGTTTATTTTCCTCCTCTCTTATCTTTGCAATGGTGTACTCACACTAGCACAACACACACACATGTATTTACGAAGAGGAGGAGGATGAGGAAGGTGAGGAGGAAGAGAAGGCAAATCAGTCATTCCTCATTTCTTTATACAGAGCATCTGGGGAGAGGGACGGGGGGACAGGGGGACTGGGACGTGGGGATGATTAGAAGACATCCTTTCAAAAACAAGGACGTGAGAAACTCCACAGATTAACCCCCGCAGACCTGTCTCCTTGCCCCGGTTGCAGCGAGCATGAGACTCTCCACACGCAGAGAAAATATACAGTGAAGTGAATTAGAGCCAGGGGAGAACAGGGAAGTGGGGAAATGGGGATCAAAGCTGTGTGCTGAAACAGAGAGGTAATTAATAAAGGAGGGAAGAGGTTAAGAATCAAAAGGAGAGTTGCTTTGTGTGTAAATTACCGTGTGTTCAATTAGGCCTTGATTGGGTTGCTTTTGGTTGTGATATAATCGGCGCTGAAAACAAAACCCCTGGGATTTGGCACCACATATGAGTTTGCTAGTTGCTGCCTTTTAGTGGCATATTCAGTTTCAAAGGAAGTCCAAATTAGTGAGCTGTACGCAATTTTTGGTACCCTTGGAATAGCTGAAGGACACCTAATGTTGTCAAAGTCCAGAATTAGCAGGAGGAGGTAGGCAACAGTGGCAGTAAAATGGTTCTTATCCTTCCCCTTAGTCTACTGCTGCATATGTCATTGAAGTACCTGGGAGAGATACAAGGTTGAGTCCGTGTTATGGATTGGACATGGCTCGAACTCTCACGAAACAGAGGTCACACACAAGTAATTGTTTCAGACACATTTAGTGTCTCGTGTGAAGAAGTTTGCAATAAATTAAAACGAGACCTGTCATAAATCCCGAAGAGTTACCCAAGTGTCTTTAAAAGTTGTCCAGACCTTTCTAGAAGATGAGGCCATTTCTAATCATGTTTGTTTGTCTTTGTCTTTGTTTTTCTTACAGACCGATGCTGTGCCAGTCGAGCAGAGTGATGGCGCTGAGGTGGGATGCCACGCTGGTGTTGGCCGCCATGCTGCTGGTTTGCTGTGGCGCCGCTCCCACTGACATTCTCTACCGGATGCTCGAGGAGCAGCCGCCCAACACGTTGATCGGCAGCCTGGCATCGGATGAGGGCCTGCCCGACTCGGGCCACCTGTACAAGCTGGAGGTGGGCACCCCTTACCTGCGCGTGGACGGCAAGACTGGAGACATCTACACCACAGAGGTCCCCATCGACCGTGAGACACTGCGGGACTGCCGTAACCTGTTTGAGGGCGACAAGTGCTTCCTGGAGTTCGAGGTGTCCATCACAGACCTGAAGCAGGGCCAGGGACCGCGGCTAATCGAGGGCCGCATCGAGGTGCAGGACGTCAACGACAACACACCCCAGTTCACCTCACCCATCCTCATGCTGTCCATCCCAGAGAACACGCACATCGGGGCACTCTTCTCCATCCCCATGGCCAGCGACAAGGACTCGGGCCACAACGGCGTGGCCGAGTACTCGCTTAGTGCCGGGATCGACGCCGACCAGCTCTTCAGCCTGCAGGTGGCCGAGGACACAGACGAGAAGCAGCCGCAGCTCATCGTTATGGGCAACCTGGACCGCGAGCAGAAAGACTCGTATGATCTCAACATCCGTGTGGTGGACGGGGGCACACCGCCGCGTGCCAGCAGCGCCCTGCTGAGGGTGACCGTCACCGACCAGAACGACAATGCACCCAAGTTCGAGAGGAGCCACTATGAGGCTGAGCTGGCCGAGAACAGCCCTATGGGACATTCAGTCCTGCAGGTACTAGACACACAGGGATACCTACAGTACATACACAGAGATAGCTACAGTACATACACAGAGATACCTACAGTACATACACAGAGATACCTACAGTACATACACAGAGATAGCTACAGTACATACACAGAGATACCTACAGTACATACACAGAGATGCCTACAGTACATACACAGAGATACCTACAGTACATACACAGAGATACCTACAGTACATACACAGAGATACATACAGTACATACACAGAGATACCTACAGTACATACACAGATATACCTACAGTACATACACAGAGATACCTACAGTACATACACAGATATACCTACAGTACATACACAGAGATACCTACAGTACATACACAGATATACCTACAGTACATACACAGATATACCTACAGTACATACACAGATATACCTACAGTACATACACAGAGATACCTACAGTACATACACAGAGATACCTACATTACATACACAGAGACTACAGTGGGGAGAACAAGTATTTGATACACTGCCGATTTTGCAGTTTTTCCTACTTACAAAGCATGTAGAGGTCTGTCATTTTTATCATAGGTACACTTCAACTGTGAGAGACGGAATCTAAAACAAAAATCCAGAAAATCACATTGTATGATTTTTAAGTAATTAATTTGCATTTTATTGCATGACATAAGTATTTGATACATCAGAAAAGCAGAACTTAATATTTGGTACAGAAACCTTTGTTTGCAATTACAGAGATCATACGTTTCCTGTAGGACTTGACCAGGTTTGCACACACTGCAGCAGGAATTTTGGCCCACTCCTCCATACAGACCTTCTCAAGATCCTTCAGGTTTCGGGGCTGTCGCTGGGCAATACGGACTTTCAGCTCCCTCCAAAGATTTTCTATTGGGTTCAGGTCTGGAGACTGGCTAGGCCACTCCAGGACCTTGAGATGCTTCTTACGGAGCCACTCCTTAGGTGCCCTGGCTGTGTGTTTCGGGTCGTTGTCATGCTGGAAGACCCAGCCACGACCCATCTTCAATGCTCTTACTGAGGGAAGGAGGTTGTTGGCCAAGATCTCGTGATACATGGCCCCATCCATCCTCCCCTCAATACGGTGCAGTCGTCCTGTCCCCTTTGCAGAAAAGCATCCCCAAAGAATGATGTTTCCACCTCCATGCTTCACGGTTGGGATGGTGTTCTTGGGGTTGTACTCATCCTTCTTCTTCCTCCAAACACGGCGAGTGGAGTTTAGACCAAAAAGCTCTATTTATGTCTCATCAGACCACATGACCTTCTCCCATTCCTCCTCTGGATCATCCAGATGGTCATTGGCAAACAGCAGACGGGCCTGGACATGCGCTGGCTTGAGCAGGGGGACCTTGCGTGCGCTGCAGGATTTTAAATCCTTGACGGCGTAGTGTGCTACTAATGGTTTTCTTTGAGACTGTGGTCCCATCTCTCTTCAGGTCATTGACCAGGTCCTGCCGTGTAGTTCTGGGCTGATCCCTCACCTTCCTCATGATCACTGATGCCCCACGAGGTGAGATCTTGCATGGAGCCCCAGACCGAGGGTGATTGACCGTCATCTTGAACTTCTTCCATTTTCTAATAATTGCGCCAACAGTTGTTGCCTTCTCACCAAGCTGCTTGCCTATTGTCCTGTAGCCCATCCCAGCCTTGTGCAGGTCTACAATTTTATCCCTGATGTCCTTACACAGCTCTCTGGTCTTGGCCATTGTGGAGAGGTTGGAGTCTGTTTGATTGAGTGTGTGGACAGGTGTCTTTTATACAGGTAACGAGTTCAAGCAGGTGAAGTTAATACAGTTAATGAGTAGAGAACAGGAGGGCTTCTTAAAGAAAAATTAACAGGTCTGTGAGAGCCGGAATTCTTACTGGTTGGTAGGTGATCAAATACTTATGTCATGCAATAAAATGCAATTTAATTACTTAAAAATCATACAATGTGATTTTCTGGATTTTTGTTTTAGATTCCGTCTCTCACAGTTGAAGTGTACCTATGATAAAAATTACAGACCTCTACATGCTTTGTATGTAGGAAAACCTGCAAAATCGCAGTGTATCAAATACTTGTTCTCCCTACTGTATATACTGTACATTTCTTTAAATATATATCTTTTTTCATTTTAGTAATTTAGTAGACACTTTTATCCAGAGTGACTTACAGTTAGATAGACATAGAGTGCCTTGCAAAAGTATTCATCCCCCTTGGCATTTTTCCTATTTTGTTGCATTACAACCTGTAATTTAAATGGATTTTTATTTGGATTTAATGTAATGGACATACACAAAATAGTCCAAATTGGTGAAGTGAAATGAAAAACATAACTTGTTTCAAAACATTCTACAAAATAAATAACAGAAAAGTGGTGGGTGCATATGTATTCTCCCACTTTGCTATGAAGACCCTAAATAAGATCTGGTGCAACCAATTACCTTCAGAAGTCACATAATTAATTAAATAAAGTCCACCTGTGTGCAATCTAAGTGTCACATGATCTGTCACATGATCTCAGTATATATACACCTGTTCTGAAAGGCCCCAGAGTCTGCAACACCACTAAGCAAGGGGCACCACCAAGCAAGCGGCACCATGAAGACCAAGGAGCTCTCCAAACAGGTCAGGGACAAAGTTGTGGAGAAGTACAGATCAGGGTTGGGTTATAAAAAAATATCAGACACTTTGAACATCCCACGGAGCACCATTAAATCCATGATTAAAAAATGGAAAGAATATGGCACCACAACAAACCTGCCAAGAGAGGGCCGCCCACCAAAACTCACAGACCAGGCAAGGAGGGCATTAATCAGAGAGGCAACAGAGAGACCAAAGATAACCTTGAAAGAACTGCAAAGCTCCACAGCGGAGATTGGAGTATCTGTCCATAGGGAAACCTGTTTCAGTCTTCGAGAGATTTGAGACTGGGGCGGAGGTTCACCTTCCAGCAGAACAATGACCCTAAGCATACTGCTAAAGCAACACTCGAGTGGTTTAAGGGGAAACATTTAAATGTCTTGGAATGGCCTAGTCAAAGCCCAGACCTCAATCCAATTGAGAATCTGTGGTATGACTTAAAGATTGCTGTACACTAGCGGAACCAATCCAACTTGAAGTAGCTGGAGCAGTTTTGCCTTGAAGAACGGGCAAAAATCCCAGTGGCTAGATGTGCCAAGCTTATAGAGACATACCCCAAGAGACTTGCAGCTGTAATTGCTGCAAAAGGTGGCTCTACAAACTATTGACTTTGGGGGGTTGAATAGTTATGCACGCTCAAGTTTTCAGTTTTTTTGTCTTATTTCTTGTTAGTTTCACAATAAAAAATATTTAGCATCTTCAAAGTGGTAGTCATGTTGTGTAAATCAAATGATACAAACCCCCCCCAAATCAATTTTAATTCCAGGTTGTAAGGGAACAAAATAGGAAAAATGCCAAGGGGGGTGAATACTTTCGCAAGCCACTCATTGACTCAGTCACAAAGTTTATATCTCTCTACCTCTCACACATGAATATAACTGCCATGTCATGCTCTGGGGCCATTTGTTTCAGTCAAAAGCGCAATGAAGTAGATTCACTTAGAGTAACTTATTTGAAAGAAAATAGCCTTTAAACTCAGACTTTTTGGTTCAGCTATTCGACTCCCCACACCATATTTATACTTCACAAATTATATCTGGTGGAGAGACTGTGAGAGGAACTGGTGAACTAGCTAACACTAACATCCCAAGAGCCCTCAAACTCCACTTGACAAGCACCCTCATTACATTAGGCCCCCTATTTCCCATGGGGCCTGGGCACCGATACAAAACAACAGGGTTAAGGTTGAGGAAACGATTGAACCAAATTATATTCTCCTCAGCGAATTGATTTTTCTTCCTCTTCCGTCTGTCGCTTTAACCACCGGTTTTACAAAACACTAGTGAATTATTGACAGATTCTGAGAATGGCATATTGGATTGCAGTGCAACACAGCCGATAAGGCGAGCACTACAGTTGTCCGGGTTCCAGGAGCAATTTGAGACGAAGTGTCCAGGCATAAAATGTGTATAAATACTGTTAATCTCTCAGTCAACAATTAGTCCATGCATTCAAGATGTTTTCAAAGAGCGTGTCAAGTGTGTTTTCTCCCTTCATGATCCTGCTAAGGGAGCAGTAGCAAATGAACGGCAAGGGCGGAAAAATGGTCTAATTTGATGACTTAAACGGGTCAGACGTGTCAATCAAGCATTTCTGCTTCCTCAAAGGAATGCTCTCCAAATGCCTGTTAAGTGAAATGCATTCTGAGGTTTCTGTGGAAGATAAAATGGAATGAGTCACATAGAGCATTATACCAATAAACCCCATGGATAATCTGATGTCTGAGTCACATTAAGTCACGCATGGCTCAGTAATGGGAGGGCTGGGTCATTCTATTTGACTATCCTGTGGGGTAAGTCATACAGTGCTTTACCACGTGTGTTTAAGGATGAGTAATGTTAGAAAGATGACAAGTGGATCTTGCTGTGTCAGGTGGTAAGGTGCCATAGTGACACTGTAAGGTTGGGTCCGACAGTTAAAGAGATTCGTTGGTTTACTTCGATTCTAAATGATACCTCGCTTATTTGCCCAGTCCATTTACACCAGATCAACTCACAGACACCTCTATTTAAACTGTGTAATCATGGGCCTATAATGGGATAAAATATATTAGGATCCTTATTACCAAACTCACTGAGTTGACATTCCCCCATGTGTAGATTACGGAGATGGCTTGTTTCCTAATGTGTTAACGTTTCTAATGCAAGGCTGTTCTCAGTTTCTTATGGGAAGTTTCTTGTTTTGGCAAGGATTACAGAGGCAGGGCCAAGTCAATCCGTTGCCACCAATCCCTGTCACTCTATCTCCTCCTAATGGCCCCTGTAGGAACAAGGGCCTTTTGATAATAGGAGGAACATTAACATGCTCAGTCATTTCCCCATTAGCTGCCAATGACCCATGTGACAATCACTAGATGTTTATGTGGGGCTGCGCATGCTTAGTTTTGATAGTCCATTATGCATGACACAGAGCATGAACTTGAGCTATGGGGAGAATCAAGGCTTTGATACAATCTAGCAGGGAATTTACAATTGTTTCTGGGTTTTGAAAATGGTAGGTTGCAGAAGCTAAAGGCTAATATTGTATGTTTTTTCTGTGTGTGTGCGTGTGTCCAGGTGAAAGCCAACGATGCTGACATGGGTACCAACGGGGAGATCGACTACAGCCTGCACCAGGCCTCCGATGCCGTCCAGAGGTTGCTGCGCATCGACCGCTCCACAGGGATCATCTACGTCAAGGGGCTGGTGGACCGCGAGGAGGAGAGCTTCCTCAAGTTCTTTGTGGTGGCCAAGGACCGCAGCCCCAACTCCAAGAGCTCCAAAGTCCTGGTGACCATCAACGTCAAGGACCAGAATGACAACGCACCCGCCATCGAGATCCGTGGCATTGGCCTGGTCACCCACCACGATGGTGTGGCCAACATCTCAGAGGACATGCCCATCGGCACGCCCGTGGCCCTGGTGCAGGTGTCGGACCGTGATGAAGGGGAGAACGCCGTGGTCACCTGCGTGGTGGCCGGGGACGTACCCTTCCAGCTGCGGCCCGCCAGCGAGTCAGCCAACGACCGCAAGAGGAAATACTTCCTGCAGACCACGACCCTGCTAGACTACGAGCGCATCAAGGACTACAGGATTGAAATAGTAGCAGTGGACTCAGGTAACCCTGCACTGTCCAGCACCAACTCCCTGAAGGTGCAAGTCACCGACATGAATGACAATGCGCCGGTCTTTTCCCCCACCCTGTTCGAGGTGGACTTTGCAGAGGAGAACCAGCCAGGTGATAAGGTGCTGGATGTGGTGGCCACAGACGCGGACAGTGGCTCCAACGCAGAACTGACCTACAGCATCATCATGGACTCGACCACTAAGGGGCTCTTTGAGATCGACCCCAAAACGGGAGAGGTGCGCGTGATGAACACGCTGGACCGTGAGCACAGAGAGCACTACGAGTTCCATGTGGCGGCAGCCGATAAGGGCTCGCCTAGCCTGAGGGGGACGGCCACGGTGGTGGTCAAGGTGCTGGACCGTAACGACAACGACCCCAAGTTCATGTTGAGCGGCTACAGCTTCTCCGTCTTGGAGAACATGCCTCCGCTCAGCCCTGTCGGCATGGTGACGGTCATCGACGCAGATAAGGGCGAGAACGCCAGGGTGCGGCTCTCGGTGGAGCCCGACAATGGCAAGTTTGTCATCCAGAACGGCACAGGCACTATCCTCTCCAGCATCTCCTTTGATCGCGAGAAGGAGAGCACATACACTTTCCGCCTCAAGGCTGTGGACGCCGGTGACCCTCCCAGGTCCTCCTACGTGGGTGTGACCATCAACGTCTTGGACGAGAACGATAACTCCCCCTATGTCACCAAGCCCTCTAACTCCTCCTACAAGTACCTCCCACCTCTCACGACCCCCGAGACACGCGTGGAAGTGGTGGAGGCCGAAGACATTGACACGGGACCCAACGCCGAGCTGGTCTTCAGCATCACCGGCGGGAACCCCTACGGACTGTTCCACATCTCACCCAACAATGGGGAGATCACCCTGGCCCAGGAGTTCACCCGCAAGCACAACGGGCTCCACCGTTTGGTGGTGAAGGTGAGCGACAAAGGCAAGCCACAACGTCACACCACCGCCCTGGTCCACATCTTCGTCAACGAGACCATGGGCAACATCACCCTGATCGAGTCTCTGGTGGGTCACAGCCTCTACACTCCTCTGGACAGAGACATTGCCGGGGACCCCAACTACGCGCTGGCCCAGCGCAGCAACATCCTGTACGGCAGCCTAGCGGGCATCGCCGGAGTCATCCTGGTCATTGTGGTGGTGGTGGTGATCCGCCATCGCATGCAGAAGGACACCAAGAGCGGCTACCAGGCAGGCAAGAAGGAGAGCAAGGACCTGTACGCCCCTAAAGCAGGGCCGAAGAACGGCAAGGGCAAAAAGAGCAAGAAGGGCAAGGCGCCCAAGCCCGCCAAGCCACTGGAGGAGGAAGAAGAGGCAAGCCTCCAGAAGGGCCTCAACTTCAACCTCATAAACGATAGTGTCAATGACAGTCCCCGGATCCACCTGCCCCTCAACTACCCCCCGGGCAGCCCCGACCTGGGCAGACACTACCGCTCCAACTCCCCCCTGCCCTCCATCCAGCTGCAGCCCCAGTCGCCCTCTGCCTCCAAGAAGCACCAAGCCGTTCAGGACCTGCCCGCCACCAACACCTTTGTGGGCACGGGTGACAACAACTCTACAGGCTCCGATCAATATTCGGATTACAGCTACAAGGCAAACCCGCCAAAATACAGCAACAAACAGGTAGGCGACTACTTCGTAAACACAGCAGGGTACAACAGGAACATTATGTGGAGCGACGAGGTTTGGTAGACATGGGACTGAATCACAGAGATCTGCTACCAAAGCTGCACTGATCACTCATTCTCTCACCGCGATCACGCCACTACCTTTCCCAAATCAGGGCAGGCTTGCCTTTTCATCTCTCATTTTTATTTATATTTTTCGTTATGTTTATTTTTGTCATTTAATTTTTATCTTCACCTTAAAATGGACTCACTACACTTTCACGCTAAGAAGGAAATATCATATTTTGTACTTAATTGTATCTCACCTTTTCGGGGGGTTTAAATGAAGGAGCTTATGTTTTTGTGTTGTTTTTACTTTGCATATCTTTGGTTGGGCACTTACACTGCCCCACACAGAGTCATTCCGTATATTTGAATGTGTTTAGAGAAATAAATTGGTTTTAAAGTCCCTCTTTATGGCAGGATTCTATTTCCCTTCACACTGAGTTTGTTCATTTGAGTGTGACAAAGTGCTGGTGAATTCCTCAGACACTTTTATTGTCTGTTGGCTACCACTTGAGAGTACCAGCTGGGCCTAACTGCACTTTTTTTATGTTTTCACTTCAAAATAATTAAAACCTTTCAGCAAAGGGTAGATAGCCAAGGGGAAAGAAGGGAGAGGGGGAAGGGAGGGAAAGAAGACATTACAAAAAAAGCACACTTAACGACAAGGGAAGGTCCTTTCAGACACCTTGTGTTATTTTGAAGCCTGCCGCTGCACATCCTGTTAGGCTATTGAAAAAGGACTCTTCATTTACTGGGGCTTAAGTCAATTGTTTGTACAGATTAATGGCAGGTAATTCCGGCCCCGCTCGCCTGTACACAGAGAGTGCCTTGCTTTATTTAACGTACATATGTGGGGTCATTAAATTCATGCTCATAAGGAGCGTGGTATGGCACCTTTATGAGTAATGGACTCGAGGCCCCGGCAAGCTGTGAATAATGTCACATCCACTGTGAAACGAGAGGCTCTGGAAAAAAAACAGGAGACCGAGGTTGATTGCGTTTTGCAGTAGTATCCGTTGGAGAGTATACCAAAAAAACCAAGATTGCTTTGTTCGTATAATGATTTGGAGACAATCGTAGTAATATGCAAGTTGTACATATGTGAATAACAAACTATGTTTGCTGTTGTTGTATTTTTTGTTTTACTCATCATGTGTTTGTTCTGATTGCAACATTTCCTGTGTGTGATTTGTACTCAAATGGAGCACATTCATTTTCTGTGAGTAACTGAGCCACTCAGTTGTCCTTGTTAGTGATGCCTGCATTCACCTTCAAAATGCTCTAACAATCAAATTACACACACACACACACACGCATTTGAATACAGGAGGTAGTACTGTTATTGTCATGCTTCAAGTGAGCGTCATAATGTTTGCTACAGTAGAGTACCCAGGAGGCATTGCAGTTCAGTGTTCCATGTTGCTTGTGTTCAACTGTATTTAAAGCTGCAGTTATCCCCATTTTGACGAGACATTTACATTTTGCTTCTGTTTTTGTTTTATCCATTTCTTTGTTAGCAAAAATATTGTACCCTGGGAGAAATTCTGTTCACCGTTTTTTGCAACTAAATCCAATTTTATTTAAATAAAAACATTGTTAAAATGGTGAAATCACACTCTCTGTGCATTCCATGGGCATTGGGCTTGAGGTAAAGTAAGATTTTGGGACGGGCCAAATGGGGATTAAAACTACAAATGGGAAATTAATGCTTAAGGTACAGTTTCCATTTTCATTATCATCTTTCTTTGTTGACAACCATTAACTTTCCATACAGCTAACACGCTAAATTACACAATGGGTTACATGGGTTGGACTAACAGCGGCACAAAAAACTATGTTTTTTCTTTGGACATGCACTCCCCAGTCCCCACATAGTACTACTTATGACTCCCCGCTCTCAGTTAGCATTTTAACTTGAATGTTTCAGAGAAACAACAATCAAGCGGATATTTAGAAAGCCTTGACCTCACTCTAAATGCTAAATTAGCTCCTATACCTGCATTAGCCTACATGCCATTTATAAAATATAAACCTTAACAATTACCTTTTTTGTTGCTAATATTTTTGTCTTTCTGTTTTTGAAAATCGAAACGTCTGACATTTCGAGAGCTTGGGACTATAAGGTTCTAGCTGCATTTGACATTCTATAACATTTTCTCTACCTATATAGTACTTTAAATACCCCTAATTCATGTTAAATTCAAGATAATACAAGATACCAAAATTGCTGACACCATTCAAACCAATGAGGGTTCGGAATTTTAATGGCAATTATCTCAGAATCATCTTTTTGCAGATAGAACCTTATAGTCATTCCCAAGCTCTCGATTGTCAGTCAAATGAAATCTCTATTCCCCAACCCTAACCCAATATGAAGTTTTCCCTCAATATGGAATGTATATTAGAGGAAAGAGCTTATATTTCCATTCTGTCTTACCCACCCTCCCAGCATTGGAATTCCTCCTGCATCCGTGCTGCTTAAACAACGTCGATTCTGCCCTCAGCTTGCGCAGTCGCCATGGAAACGGAATGACCAGTGTGTTGTGTGTGTGTGTGCGCGCTGACTCACGGAGCTGTGCGACATGGGTGGGGGGGGGGGGGGGGTGTTTGTCCCTCTAAAGCTCACATCATTACATCTCCTGTGGTCGTCACACAGAGATAATCAAATCATTCTTTGTCCATCACTCTTAAATAGACTGTAGGACTGTAATAGCAGAATACTGTTCCTTGTGTGTCTGAGTTTTCCCTCTGTGCTTTAAGAGAAAATAAAGAGATGTGGATACTGCAGCCTTAAATCAGTGAATGTGTGTGTGTGCGCTAATGTGTGTGTGATGCATCAGGGGTGCTTTTTGTGTTTGTTTGTGCCCGCTGGTTTCCGGTGTTACGACATGGCTTATAGCCCGACCAATATCTGTTTACTCACAAGCTGAAATAGGTGTTCTTGTTCCTCAGAGTCTGATGGCTACAGAGATGCATTCGGACAGCTACTAGTTGTGGTGACGGTTGCTTCTGGTCTCTTTTCCCTTCTTGGTTTTTGATGAAGTGGGAGTGGGAGTGATGGTTTCCGAAGGCGTAATGTAAAGGCACAGAGCGAAAGAAAGAAAGAGGGAATATTTCTCCTTTAGCCCCCTCAGATGAGACAACCATTGTTTCCCTCAAATTCGGTCAGAAGAGTCAAAACAAGGAGATGACAAGGCGTGTCTTCTTCAGACTGAAATCAATCTTCGTCCCGCCCAGTGGGGCTGAGAATGAGGGAATATTAATGCCCTCTCTCTCTCTGTCTATCCATACACCCTCTCTACCCACCTTACCCATCACAGGAGGTTGGTGGCACCTTAATTGGGGAGGACGGGCTCGTGATAATAGGCTGGAGCAGAATTAGTGGAATGGTATCAAATACATCAAACACATGGTTTGATGCCATTCGATTTGCTCCGTTCCACCCATTATTATGAGCCGTTCTCCCCTCAGCAGCCTCCACTGTCACCGATTAACTGATGTTCATTAACCTACCTCCGCCTTTCATGACAGTCGTTTCTGACTTTCCCCGACTCTCAATCACTCTTTCTCTCACTCGCTCACTCACTCCATCTGTCTATCTCTCCTTCTGTCGCAGTGGTCAAGGAGCCACAGGCGAAAAGTAGAGAGTGTCACTCTATTCTTCTAAGAAGCGAGTCAATTATGCAAATGAGTCCCATGGCAGATGATATGACAAGGCCTTGTGTAATGACCAGAGAGAGTTTTTATGGCCATCTGTCTCTGACCTGAGTACCATCGGGTTAGTCAATGTTTCACTCCCTTTTTCATAAATACCTCAATGAATGCCCATATCTAGGTCATCTTCAACCCAATGAGACTTTGAGTGACATTCGATGGTGACTCACACAGACACAACAATACAACATACCTGTAGGTGTAGATAGATAGGAAAAAAAACAAGCGAGGGGCAAAATGGCCACCACAAAAGATTTGAGAATAGCAAAACCGACCAACATTTGAATTATGCATGAGCAGTTGTTGACAATGCCGGGCTAATTAAAATAAAAAGCACCTCATTTTAACGAGCAGAATCGTGGTAATGGAGTCTTTTATTGTTGGCTGGTTTTAATTTTTTCCTCTGTGTTGGTCTCTTCTAACTTGGCATGACACTCTGATGAGATGAGAATCATTAGTCTCGCAGTGCTCCGCACCTGTGTTAGCCCCCAGGCTGATAACATATTTTGTCTGCATTTCACGGGAGAAAATTACATAAATTTTAGCGCCGCTGTGGCAAAAGTGCTTCTGCTCTTTGCGCCTGGCAGTTTTTCATCTGCAATCAGAGGGGACCCTGGGCCAGCTATTTTATTGCTGGCACTGCCAGGGATACCCGTGCCCATTTGGTTTGTTCCTCACCAATCAAGCCCAGAAATAAAAATATATAACAGGATGAAAGTTTGTAGAAATTATAGAATTTTATAAATGATAGTTCATCTGATGAAGTATTTTATAAATGATAGTTAATCTGAATAAGTATTTTATAAATTATAGTTAATCTGAAGGAGTATTTTATAAATGATAGTTAATCTGAATAAGTAATTTATAAATAAAACTTAATCTGAAGGAGTATTTTATAAATGATAGTTAATCTGAAGGAGTATTTTATAAATTATAGTCAATCTGAAGGATTATTTTATAAATTATAGTTAATCTGAAGGAGTATTTTATAAATGATAGTTAATCTGAAGGAGTATTTTATGAATGATAGTTAATCTGAATAAGTATTTTATAAATGATAGTTAATCTGAATGAGTATTTTATGAATTATAGTTAATCTGAATAAGTATTTTATAAATGATAGTTAATCTGAAGGAGTATTTTATAAATGATACTTAATCTGAAGGAGTATTTTATAAATGATAGTTAATCTGAAGGAGTATTTTATAGATTATAGTCAATCTGAAGGAGTATTTTATAAATGATAGTTAATCTGAAGGAGTATTTTATAAATTATACTTGATCTGAAGGAGTATTTTATTAATGATAGTTAATCTGAATAAGTATTTTATAAATGATACTTAAT